GTAATGAACTTGTAGTACTTAATACTTAGCAGAATCCCAAATTGACAAGTTACTTCTAATACTTGGTTACCTACCGTCGCGTTAACTGACCAGACATTAAACACACCACAGTCCTTACGGTTAGTTAGAAGCTTCGAAGTCTAACAACAGGTCTAGTAAGACTCAGGTACAACCAAAATAGTTCATTATCAATTAACCGTATAATGATAACCACAGAACATATTTTAAAGAAGATTAACAGAGTGCCTTGTTGGCGGAGTGGTGTGGTGGGTGCGAGTCCCGGGTCGTACAAATATTACTGGGGTTTAAAAAAAATCTCAGTAGTAGTACGGAGTTTGGAATTATATTAGGCGATAGACTTACCCCCTATTACAATACACACATATCATAAATAGTGAAAAGTAGGTCTTACATTGTACAGTGGCATACATAAATTGCCGTAATATGCACCCCTGCCTACCCCTTCGGTTGTGGGTCGCTGCCATTGCAGCGGTAAGTCCCCTCTTTGAGGAGTGGCTTGTGAGACGCCACGGTGTCCTCACCTACCGCCTGACACAGGTCCTCACCGGACATGGAAATTTCGGGAGGTATCTGTGTCTGATGGGGCAGAAAGAAACGCCCGGATGTCATCACTGCGAGGACCGCCCTGAGGACACGGTGGAATGCACTGTAGCGGAATGCCCTGCGTGGGCTGAGCACTCTTCCTTAAGAACAACAGCGCTCTCTGCGACGTCCCACAGCCTACTGTGCATGAACATATCTCACGATAGTTATTATACCAAGCATTTGATATTGTTATAAATACCTAAATGAATAAACAATAACTCAATTAACAAAATTCACACAATAATTAAAGAAAGCCATTAATGATTCAGCAATGAAAATGGGTTACGTAATCCTAATTACGAAATACAATGAACTTAATTTGCTAATTAAATAATGGAGCTTAAGTACAAAGAGGAGAAGTTTAAATTGGATTAATAATTTAAATCCTTTTAATTGAATACGATTCACACCTTAAGTGTTTATTATTTTGGACAATAATTTATACTAGATTTTGTTGACAACTTTTCCCGTAAAGGGTAAAAATGGAATATAAAATAAATAGGACGTCTTAAAACTACAGTGGCGCCATCTATTGTAACTTACAATGTTTGGTTGTTCTACACATTTTATTTTACTATAAATGAAAACGACGAAAATCAGATTTATTTATCTCGAAAAATCACGTCAAAAACAGTTCTGATTTAAACAAAAGAATGAAAAGCAAACAAACATTCATAATTAAAATATGAGTACCTATAGAAGTTCCTTACATTTAGAAATTAATTAAAACCAGACGCGGAACTCTACGGCCTGTATTTAAATGTACTAAATTAATAATTACAAACCTAGGTCCCTTGAGTTATAATTATGTAATTAACGCTGTGTAATTAAGCTAGCTGAATGGGTAGCATTGCCTACCTGACTTCCACTTTACCTTGCACTCTGTATTATTACTGACGCCCTTAAAATACTACTTTCTTTCTCTCACTTTTCAAATACTTCGTCAGTGAAGACGTGGGTATATTTTCGGGTGTCCTATCGTAATAGTCATCATCATCATCAACAGCCTATAAATGCTTACTGCTGAGCAAAGCCTCTTCTCACACGGAGAAGGTTTGAACATTAATCACCACGCTTGCTCAATGCGGGTTGGCGATTACATACTTATAATCAGAAATTATAATTTAAATTAGAAAAATTATAAATAAGAAATTATTTATTAATTATATGCCCAAGTTTCCTCACGATGTTTTCCTTCACCGTTTGTCAGTGGTATCTAGATAATCTTGGGAAGTACATATACCTCGGAAAAAGTCTCATTGGTACTTGCCGTTGGTAGGTTTCGAACCCGCACCCTCATGCATGAGAAGCGGGCCTCTTAAACCTCCGGGCCACCACGACACGTAAATTACGAATCGTAAATAGTAGTGTCAATTAAATCATATAAGGAAAACTCTGTACTCATTTTGTACATATACCACGGGTGGGAAAACTAATAGTGAATCTACAGGTCATCAATTTAAGAAATAAAACTGGGTGTTGCTCTTTGAAGGCCTACTCTTAGGTTGGCCTTTACACGACCCTTGTCGAAGTCAAGATTGAAATTAGAGGCACTGAAAACGTAATTTTGGTAAATGCTTTCGACTACAACATAAACAAACCAGAGATACAATAACAAAACAGACAAAAGCTTTAAAAATCAACATTTATTCTTGACAAAAATAAGTCCTAGACCTCGTTGTCCCACTTATCAAACAAATCTCAACCCTTGTTAAGTCTTGAACGTTCTATTTATTCTAAGACCCCAACGTGAAGAAACAAAAGGATTTGATCCCATTTCTAAGAATGTGTTTTGTATGAAAACTAGAAAATGTGAGATTTTCTGAGTATTGTCAAAGGAAAACAAAAAGCTGGTTTATGTACGATTTTTTAACCACCTTCCTAGAACTACTGCGAATAGTTGGGTTTTGTGTTTACAAACATATCAATATACAACCAACGGAAATAGCTGGAATATTTTAATTCTATATTTTATTAATCGCTTTGTCTTTTAAAGTAATATGTTATTATCTGCTTACGAAATTCCCGAGAAACCAATGAAATATGATTATAAAACGAAGTAAAAAAAATAAAATAAAAAAGAAAAACTTGTAAAGCGGCTAGGCCAAAACAATAAAGGCAAATTGGAATCAATTTAACGCTCAACTTCTATGCGATCGAATTACTCAATTTTGCTCATGTTGTGCTCGACGCTGATAACATCACTCGACACGATAAATACAGCTAACGTTACTGATACTCAGCGTACGATTACACGTAGTTAGTAATTACCGTAACGGATCATTTAATTTCTAACCTTCAAAATAGACAATGTTTGTTTCAAAATCTACTTTAATATCTCTTTTATTAAGATTGATAACAGAATGAACACAATCGTTCATTATAGGTTGATTACTATGTGAAAAACTATTGTTCCTAGTTTGCGAAATATCAAGTCACACTTGGGTTTGGTATTGTGCATGGTTTATAACTATGTAAGTTCGCTATTAACTAATATGATAAACATTGTAAATCCTTCATTTGGTTGCGTAAAAAATGCACATAAAAATTCATCTAACTGTACCTATGTACATTGTACCAAGTACCTATACACAAGTAAACAAACGATGTGATCTAAAAACGAACAAAGGCAAAGTTTACTAAAACAACTAACAAAATCATTAGCTCCGTTACACTCACAGTTAAATAAAACTAGTAAAACCTCGCGGAACGGTTTGTTTGCAATTGTCGACAATGGCTAGATAGAACTGTTCATTTACCAACCTACGTTTGAACGGTTAGACTAACTTTTCTACGGTCATTTACATTGATTGGTTTATTGATTTCTGAACCATTCGAATCAATTGTTACTAGATGCATTTTAGGATATAGGTGTATTATAAACCTTATTTTATGTAATCAAACGTGTAGGTATTGTGTAGATTATGACTTTAATTTTATTTCTTCAACTTGACTATCCTTATCCTTACTAATATTATAAATCGGAAAGTGAGTTTATTTGTTTGTTTGTTTGTTCCGCTTTCACGCCGTAACTACTAAACCGATTGCTTTGAATTTTTGCAGACGTAAAGTTAGAAGTCCGGATTAAATAATAGGATACTTTTTATCCCAGATAAATTTGTTATGAAAATAAAAGTATTGGTATAGATGGCGCTGTATGTATTTGTATATGTCACATAGACTACTTTTTATCCTTTTGTGACGCGAGCGAAGCCGCGGGTAAAAGCTAGTAATTTTATATAATCAAACATAGAATTGATTTTACCCTGTGAAGATTATGACTTGCATTTTTTTTCAACTTGACTATAGTGGTATCATGCAACAAGTTCTATGAGTTATTAGTTAGTTTTATCAACAAAACGTTCACATTGAACGTTATTTGAGGACATAAAACAACTAAAATACCTACTCATTTATAAATTGTAGCATAGTCATATTACATTTAAGCATGAAAGTAGTGAGGCGCCACAGCCAATCAATTTTCGCGGAGAACGTCGTAGTGCAAGTAAAGCTAAGCTTTCAAAGTCTATTACGGAATTACTGTTGTAATATTTCGTGCATAAAAACTTAACTTCTTGTTGTATTTTTTAATTTTCGGTGTAGGCACTGACATGCCTTAAGTAAAAATTATAAACACACCAATTGGTAGACAAATATCTAATAAAACAATACACCATGTACAAAAAAGTGTATAAATAATATTAGAACAGACTTTGATCATAATATAATAAATTGTGTGAAATATTTCCAATCTTTACGAGAAAAAGATTAAAATTCTTGAAGCGCAAAGATTTCCCTCAGAATGGGTGATTACTTTCACAGACTAACAATTTCATACCACTAAATGATATATGGAAGCACAGTGAGACAATTTGCATATGAATGTTATGTTTTGCATATCTATCCTGCTTTAAATTCAAATTGACTTTTCATAGCATTTCTGCAAAGAAAAATTACTTCCACGAAGTAAGGAACTGTTAAATGAATACATAATATTAAATACTTTACTTTTGAAAAGAAAGAATAATTAAGTTTCATTTTTAAACGATGAATTGAATTTAACTTTAAAGGCTTCAACGTCTTTAACGTTCACGCTCGAAATGAAACCTTACAAATCTTCGATTCAAATAAAATTAACTAGAAACCAAGAAAATGTTATTAACGAAGTAATTTATTTTTTATATTTTTCACTCGAAACGAAAATGCTCTGATAGGTACATTCAACGCTTCATTATTTTTAAGACCAAGCATTTGAAGATTATTTCTATTGATTTGTTTCTTCATTGAAACCACGTTCGTGACTATTGTCTCCAAAGCTAACAATTCTAGGGATTTTTTAAAACTGGGTGTGAGCGGATGTGCCGTCGCGCCGCCAGTGATAATGTCTAACGCAGGGATAGGAGAGTGGCAGAGCAGCCGCGCGCGCAGCAGACGACGCTCCACATGCGACGCCTGCGCACCCCCTGCTGGGCGAGGTGCTCAGTAGAGAAACCAAACGAAGCAAAGTTAATACCGTTACAACATCGCCGACAATGGCCAAGTAGTCGCGCCTCCCTTCTGTCCAATCTGTGCGATTAGGTCTTTCTGTTCTGTTTAAGCTTCAGTTTTCAATACTCTCTCAGTTACCTGTCCTCCTGTTAGTTTAGTGTTTCCAATATCATTTGCTGTTTTTATCAGTTTGGATTCATATCCAGGCTGGTAGTTTCTATTTTTAGGTTTATAGGTTACCTGTTTCTTTGTAAATTATTTGGTTGAACAAGCTACGTGATACTTGCCTTCCTTTGATGTTCTAGCTTCAGTCGTAAAGTAAAAGTAAAGCGTAGCCTGTTCTAAGTAGAACTGCATTTATCTGCGTCTAGATTATGTTTAGATTAGATCTGGAACTTAGTCCTGTGTGCCGTTTGGACCCTGTGTGACTCGTCTTTGTGATCGTCCCAGTCTTCAGCTCCGTCTGTGTTTGTCCTATCCCTAGGCATGTTCACTTCTCATTCTTGTGTCTGGGTGACCCCTGTGTATCGACATTCCATTAAGCTTACACTTTGTACTCTGGATTTTTATTTATTTTTTCTTTAAACGTATTTCGTGTGGTTTCGAACCTACATTCTGAATGAAACCCTTCTTCTAGTATATTCACCTATGTTATTTTATTTTTATTTATAGCTGCTACCACTGCTTTAAAATATCTATACATTTATGATTCTTTATTCTAGGTATTTTTTCGAATAGCTTATTTCTTGACTTTCTAATATTGTATTTTATTATTTTAAATGTGTGTTTTGTAAACTTTGCAGGTGTCTTTGTTTTTCGAAAATCATATAATCCGATTGTGTTCATCATTTTTACACTGTAAATTGAAACAAATATTTTCTTGCAACTTTTCTTTACTAGAGAATTTCAATTTTAATTTTTATAGTATGAAAGTGATGAGCATTCGGTTCTCCCACAAGCAAAAGTCGTTCGCGATAATCCTCTCCTTGTGTGATCCCTGACTCTGTCCCAATGACGGCGTGTTTTATTTTAGACCGGCAGTGGCGCGTCAGCAGTCGGCCCCAACCCTGGTGTTTAGGTGTGTCGATGTTATCACTTTTTATGCCACTCACTAAGCTTGAATCAAACCAGAACTGTCCATCAATATTTGAACATCTCCATTATGAAATTTGAACACTCATTGCCTTTATTCTGGTTTCATTCAAGTAGTAATGACAATACGACCCCGAATTAACCTTGAGCATCCCCTGAGATCTGCTTGTTTTGTCGTGTGGCTGTTTGTGTACTGTATTGCTTTCCATTGTTCCAAAGCTTGTGAGTGAACATAACCAGGAGTCAGCTAAAAGGCGCTTTGAATATACTAATAATAATAAATTTTAAATGAAATCGTGAATATTGTCTTCATTTCCAAATGGGTAAAAAGTTATTTTAAGTTTTTTTCGTCGCAGATGAGTTGTAAGAGTCGATGCTAATACGATAGAAAGCTGCCGTTTGAACGTCCCTTGTGTGACCAATTCTGTACTGATTGCTCGCTCGGAGGCACTTTATGTTTTATTAAGCTAACGAAAATGTTATCAATAAAGATTAATTTTGAACATTTAAATACGACTTCATATTAAGACATCAAAAATATCAGTTAATGTGAATTTTCCTTATAAAACTCAATGGAAAGCAATGTAACAGCATAACCGAATTCTTGAGCACGCTGCATGCATAGGTGTCCAATATCCCTAGTTAGTGTACCCAAATTAGCATGCTCTGAATTCTGCCAACTGTCTACTTCATCACACTTGGTTTTAGTGGCAAGTTACGTTTATACACCTCGGTATCCACAAGCAATACCTACTTGCAAAAATACTGTTCTCAATTTCAGGATCTAGTATTTTTATTTTCAACTTTTTTGTCTTCAACAAAAGATTCTCACGAGAGTTTTGGATAAAAAATCTGACATATTGTTCAACAAAGCCCCACGCAAAGGACAGCCTTGTATTGTACACGTTTTGTGTTCACTAAATTGACTCGGGACCTTGTGTGGGATTTTGTATACACCGCATTTATCATGCAAATTTTATACTGTTCAAAGATTTTACAAAACTTATCACCTTTTTTTTACTTTGATTTACATAAGTAGTTAAAATGAACAATTTAAGGAAATTCTACACTCATTCTAATAAGATAGTGACATAATATTTATGATTAGTTGTAGCTGTTAGTGGGTTAATTAAGATTATGTATAATTATTATACATAGACTAATAATGTACAGCATTATAGCTAATGTTAATTAGAATTACAGAAGTTCGATAAGATATAGTAAATACCTACTTACATATATTAAAATGTATGTTTATTGAAATGTACAATAGGATGAGAAGGTAATAATTTTATTTAAATATCCAAACTTTTAGATGTTAATATACATAGATAAAATTTTGATTAGTATGATTTTTGGAATGAATTTTAACAATACCGTCTGAAGAAGATCCAGCCGACAGCGATGTGGCACGTATTGATTGATTGCAGCGTTGTCTTTAAGCGGTGCCTGAACTGCTTCGCAGCTTTCAATGGTGAATCGAGCTGATGAAGAGATCAATGACAGAGTATACCGGTTACTGTGCTAACATGATATTATGTTCGACGTGAAGCTTAAGCTGATTTTATTGACCAAAAATTTCAATGTACTAATTTAACGTTGTGCTGTGTACAGGAGGCTGGCTGACGAAGATGACGAGCTGTCAGAAGTCCAACCTGATGCTGTACCGCCTGAGGTCCGGGAGTGGCTGGCGTCCACCTTCACGCGACAACTGGCAACGGCGAAGCGAAAGTCTGATGAGAAGCCCAAGTTCCGGTCGGTGGCTCATGCCATCAGGGCAGGGATCTTCGTGGATAGGATCTATAGAAGAGTCACCAGCACGGCGCTGATGCAGTTTCCCCAAGACGTCATTAGAGTACTAAAGGTAAGTCAAACATCAAACCACATATATTCTGATAGTCCAATTTATTAAGAATATGAATGCGTAGTTGATTAGTTCTTTCGGAAAAATGGCACGATGTATTATTTGCATTAAACATTTTAAGTAAGCAGACAAGAGCAGAATTAGATTTAAACACAATTTCGTTTTAGAACTAAACGATAACATTCCAAGTAAATACAGAACGCCTAGCAGATTCACAGAAACCGATATTCCTTTGAACAGAAATTTCAAATAAAATTCCTCTACAAATATTAGAAGAACACGTATTTCAGTAACAGTATATTGAATATCTCCAAACTAAATTAATAGACGCGCTTTGAAATTGTCGGTGAAGTTTTACTTTGAAATTGAAGAGAACAATTAGAATGTAAGGTTACCACGTGAGTGTTTCTGAACAATCCAATTACTTCTCGTAACTTTGTTTTAATAATAATGTAGATTAAACTAATAGTGATAAGTTGAACGCTAATACTAATTTGATTTACCAATGTCGTACTTTAGATTTAGAATTTTTAGAAATTGGTGTTTATTCATGGTTATGATTGAACACATATTAAAAGTGCTCAGTAGTACGATTAATGTTCATGTATTAAAATATATTCGCATATATTAAAATCGTTTTAAGGTTCTCTTATGTAATATTTTTCTATACTTATATAAATTTTGGAGTCTATTGAAGGTATTCGAGGGTCTCTACTTTCGAGCCAAAATAAGGTCTAATATTTTAACTGATATTAAGGCTGTAAGCTAAGCCTATTAGAATTACGGCGCGGAAGCCATCAGACCACCACGGATGGGGCCAATAGGGCTGATGCCCGATACGGAGCCGCGGAGAACTTAACGGGTTACCAGAGCTCCGGCTCGAAGTGCAGGAGTAGGAACGGGGTGGTTTTTAGTCAGTAAGAGTCTGACACTCTCTCCTGCGCTCCCAGGTGGGAGAAGTCATTCGATGACTTCCCTTAAAAAAATCCTGTTAGAATAGGACACTAGAGGTAAGCAGATGGATAATTAAATGTGTTCTCCGTTCAGCTTAAATAGTAGAACTATAAACTACAGCTCCAACAGCTTTATTTACCAAAATACTAATACTTGGTGTAATAATGGAACTCTGCTTTCAAATATTCTGACTGACATGTGCAGAGAAGGTCTTTTCGCCGCGTGACCCAATTCCTGTTTGTACTCGGCGACAGGATTTTGCAACTTTTCCAAAGAGAACTTTATGTTTTCACCTCATTAAATATTCAACAATTTTAAACAATAAGCGTATCACAATAAGGGTTGAACTGGATTGATTAACGAATGTGCCATAATTTCGAGACCGTTGTGAATAACTAAAACTAGACCATTATCTGAATTGGAAAGCATATATAAATTCTGAATAACAGAAATCTATCTTATTTTAACAGCACCTGTTGAATATTTAAAATTTTATACGAACGGTAAATGTTCCAAAATATTTTTGTAGAAAATTACTGCTTAATAACAGCCTATCATTTCATTGACGACCATTTCCAATCTTGTCAAAGAAGACATGAATCTTCTCAGTGTTCAAATATATATGATCAGTACCCAATGGATAGCCTAGGATAACCCAGTAACCCAGTAACCTTTAGTAATTGAGTCAGCGCAACCTCGCCGGAATTCTATGAATTTGTATTTATGTCATTTTATCGGAAACAGCAAAGTAATAGAATTAACAACATAGTAGAAATCTATTGTATAGTATTTAGTAGACATATATAGTAGACTGCCTCGTTGGCCGAGTGGTCGCAAGTGCGACTACCGGGCAAGGGGTCTCGGATTCGATTCCCCGGGCCGGGCAAAGTATTACGGGGTTTTAAAAAAATTTTCAGTAGTAGCACGGAGTCTGGAATTTGTGCCCAGTATATGACTATAAGCTCACTCCCTATTACATGGGACTCATAACATAAATAGTGAAAAGTGGGTGTTACATTGTACAGTGGCATAATGTGCACCTCTGCCTACCCAATCTACAAACAAACCGAGGTTTGCCATGTTCCATCTATAATCTTGACTATAATTCATATTATCTCGCCTTAAACGCGTTCTTCTAGCTTTTACTTCAATGTTCCGCTGTGGGTTTTAAAAAACAATTGGATACTTTTATTTATTACTTTGTGACCTTTCGAAGAAATTTTCTTCCAAACACAAATTGGTTCTGACCTTATTATTGGTTTATAAATAGCTCAGCAGTGTCCAAAAATACAAATGGAATTTGTAATTCTCTCTATTTATGGTCCAAATGCTTGATTCCAAGTTATTCGCAAATATGTTGTTACACTGCGGTAAAATTGAAATAGATGAAAATCCATTTAATGGAAATACTCAAATGCTGCTATCTCATAACTAAATTATTATTTTGAATAGGTAATGTAACAGAATTTAGGATATTTTTTAGTTGTGTATGTGGATAGTCTGAATAACAAGATATTTTTTTTTTCGGATAGGTAATAGAAATGACAAATTACGAATAATATGACGCATTTTTTCTATATTAATTTGATTATTTATTATGTTTAAATTCAAAAACTGCCTCGTTGGGCGAGTGTTCGCAAGTGCGACTGCCGAGCAAGGGGTCGTGGATTCGATTCCCGGGTCAGGCAAAGTATTACAGGGGTTTTAAAAAATATCTCAGTAGTACCACGGAGTCTTTATTTTTTTTTTGAGGGAGGTCTTCGTCCCATGACTTCTCTCGTCCGGATGAGGCGAGAGGGAGTGTCAGACTCTTACTGACTAAAAACCACCCCGTTCGTACTCCTGCACTTCGAGCCGGAGCCCCGGCAACCCGTTAAGTCTTCCGTGGCTCCGTATCGGCATCACCCCTGTTGGGCCCCATCTGTGGTGATCTGATGGCTCCTTGAGGCGCGCGCGGAGGGCGACGCGCCGTACGCTCGGGCCTGGTTATGGTGGAGGGTACCACGGAGTCTGGAATTGTACCCGGTATATGGCAATAGGATCACCCCCTATTACTTGGGACTTATAACATAAATAGTGAAAAGTGGGTGTTACATTGTACAGTGGCATTAAGTGCCTTAATGTGCACCTCTGCCTGTCCCTTCGGGGATAAAAAGGCGTGATATTATGTTATGTTTAAATTCAAAAGTAAATTACCAAAAATATCATGTTTGCTTGGCAGTGACGAATAATTTTTACAACGTTTAACGCATTTTTTTCGACCTACTTCATTCATCTGAAAACCCCCTCTCACGGGTATAATATCGATAACAAATCTCTTTCCACACGTACCTTTAACATACAGGAAATGACGACACAATTTCTTCTAAAGAATAATATGGACACAATAAAACACGTTTCCTTAGTAAAAGAATTTTGTAAGGAGGGTAACACCTTTAACCAATTATAATGCGATAATGATGTATTTTACAGATGGTTAGACACAGGGTGTACTTTGGCACATAGGATGTTCTAAACCATTCTTATCTAATAAACAAAGTCGTTAATCAAAATATTTTAATTGTTATTCAATTTATTTCAATAACTGTTTTTCGAATGCCACGTGTAATAATATTTGATAGTATGGCTGTACTTTTCCAAATTATAAGAATAGTCATACCATATTGACAATAGGTTAGTTTCCTAAATTTTATTTTAATGTCCGTCTGGTGGATAATTTTAAAACATTAGACACGTATTTTTTTCTTTTCTCACAAAATAAATGCTTTCGACAATATATTGATTTGAAATGTCGTGTGACGTCACAGCGTACGACCTCCCACTCCTAAACTTAACATTCCATTCCATTCCTTCCATTTTATTTAGGTATTGTAACTTTATACGAGAAAATTTAAAAATACGTGTCTAATATTTTTTCATTATCTAACTGACAGACTAATTTTTAATTTTCTTACCCTGGAAACTACCCAATTAAACATGTTTGGAGTCCAGAATCCGTACCATTTATCCATGATAGTTGTAAGACCTACCTACAACAGGAGACTACAGGAACACATACTACGTAGGAAAATAAAAGATATTGTAGATATACGCATATAAACGAATAAAACACTCTACCATAACACACCAAACCCGAATAAACAATTTAACAAAATAAATAGATTAAAGCAAAGTTTCCTAACAATCAACTTAGGGGACTGCAAATTACATTCAGATATCAAATATTCACTATGAAGTAACAAGGGTTGGACTAATTAACTTGAAGTAAGAACCAGATTAATTAGTAAACCAGTACATTTATCTTGGTTCAGTGAATTAGAAGAATTTCTGAAGTGGACAGTGTTGTGGAAATGTATCGAGATGTTGACACCAGAGAAGACTTCTATTGAACAAAATCTTTTGAAACGACTTGCTTGCTAAACTAAGAATTAATCCAGAATTTCTGAATAAGCTTTATGTAGCGTTACTGAGAATATAAAATCAAGTCCTATTAATACTTAATTGTAGAGTGACATATCTAAACCTGACCATTTACAACTTACAACGTAAATAGAGATATATTAATTTAATAAATACCTAGCTTTAATTTTAGACTACATACATATTTACCGTCTAAAAATTACTGTAAGAGAAATTCATCGTGCTAGATTTTTTTCGTCTTTAGCCTGACCTCAAAAGTCTGCGCCCTCAAAAGTCGGCTTCCTTAATCTACCACTTCATGTGGTTTATGAAAGAAACACACATACAAACAAAAATAACACATCAGGACTCCAACAAGCCTTCATATTCCAAAGCCTATGAAAGAAGCTTGAGTATTTCTACAATTTCACAATACATTTACAAGCTCGACGCTGTTTGTCTTTTTCTAAATGCTAACGTTATTTTCCTCTTTTTGCCTCCCCTTTTTAACTGAAAAGAATTTTCTGATGAAGAGCTAGAAATAAATGTTCCCGCACATAGGCTCTTTATAACTGCTACATAAATATTGTTTTCCACATAGTTTATTCTCATTTCAATGAGTAGAATCGTTTGCAATTACTCTCTTTTTTCATCTTCATAACCGATTTGGATCAAAGTTTCCCGTTCTACATTGACAACAATTTAATTATTTATCGAATTGTACGCGTTTTAAACGTTATCGTTATTTTGTTTCAGACATTAGATGAATGGTCATTCGACGTATTTGCCCTGCACGAGGCGTCGGGCGGGGCACCCGTAAAGTACCTTGGCTATGAACTACTCAACAGATATGGAATGATACATAAGTTTAAGGTGAGTCTGATGATGTATTATATACCCTAAGCAGTTACACATGGGTAAAATGTACTACGAAAGTTTTGTAAAAATCTAACGAATTTGTTGTCAATTGCAAAGACTTTTCTAAAATCAATTGCCCAAATCTACTCCTTGAAAACGTCGATAAGTTAAATTAACCTCCGTTTTGCAAGGCATTAATCCAATTTGCCGGTTTGTTACTCTCTGGGAAGTTTACGTTCCTTTCTTTTCTTTCTTTCATTTATCTTTTGATTAATTTGAAGAAAGAATTTAAAAAGATTTTACTAAATGAATTCTTTCTACGTAGACTCACCGTTTTTACCAAGTTCCAAATCGGTCCATTAGTGATACATTTCATTTATTCAGCAAAAAAAGTAAAAGGGAAAGTGCTATGTATAATTTTACTGTATAATATTCATTAGCAATTAGTCACCAATTATGTTATTGATTGGAATCAGCCACAAGCTTAATTGGTCTGCACTGGTCATGGAGAATGAAATCAGTTAGAAATTCAAACTAATTAACTGTTATTAATGTTATGCTATATTCGTAGTAGGTAAGTACTAACTAATGAAAGATAACATTGTTTTTAACCAGTATAATTGGATAAATATCTTAAAATCTCCGAACACCCAATAACAGTTTCTTCTTTAAAATACTACCGCAAAGATTTCAGCTGTGTTTTCTAATGGCAATGTCTAGACCGATCGAAATTTGATGTCGTAAAAATCACAGAGCGAATCGCAGAGAATGTTCAATTTTCACAACACGTCTGTTAAAAACATGATTGGCCAATAAAATCTTTTTGATAAAAATAACGTATTCCCAAGTTTCATTCCTCGACATTATTTTAATATTAAAGTTGTGATTTCGGAAAAATTTCATCATTCAGTGAAAGTCTTGATGGAAGTTTTAATAGACTCTCAAAGTTAACCTAAAAAGTTTCCGAGTACGCGTTGGCGGTCATTTTTGACGAACGCTCGCTATACAGATTCCTTTGTGGGACGTACTTTTTTAACATAATACTTTTTGATATTCTGTTGACGGAATCGTAATATAATGAAGCTAGAATCTATATTTAACTGTGATGTCTATTTTCTGTTTTCCTTCAAGAAGCAATGTAAATCAATAGTCGAAATCTGTAATTGGTCTTAAATCGTTTGATTGACATAGAGTTCAGCAGCAGACGTCCTCAGTTGGTGATGACAATAATAATTTGGCACAGAAATACTTTTTGAATTTTAATGTCCATTTCTTTTTCTGATTTGAAAAGTAAAAGCCTCAAACAAATATTACAATCGTAAAATAAAGTAAATTAGTACCGAGTTCTTGTAAAATGGGGTATTTTCACGACTAAAGTATCTCCTAACAGACTGTTTTAATATAGAAAAATGTGGGAAGACAAAATTAACTTCACAAATGGCTTACAAACAGTTATTGCTACCCAAAGAATCCCTGAAGTTTACTAATACCTCTATAAGAAGTAACATCATTTTCAATTGCTATTGTTCCTTTTGGATGATAATTTTACTTTTGGATAGCATTTACAACCAACAAAAAAGTGAGAACTACCTTGAAAATTGGTTAGGATTAGGGCAAGAAATAATCGTTATGTTTTACTAAATGTTGGGTTTCCTCAGGGAGGTATATTAGGACCAATGCCACTTATTAATAGTTATAAAAATGAGTATTTGTTAACTAGGGTCGGTTTTGAATATAACTTTTTTCAGGGTAATCTTTGTTTAACTAAATTAATAATGTCCTTCTTAGTAAGTATCATTATTCGTCTCGTTGTAACGTCAGACATTACAGTCATATTATCGCATTGTTCTGTATAAAGAAAGAAATGATTAAAATAGAAACTTGAGTTATATTTTTGATTTCAATTTTTACATTCGGTTGTTAGACTACCTTAGTGAATCCAAGAAAAAGTTAGGCAGGCACTTTATTTCCAGCGTTCAGAGCAGTTGTGCATGATTGAATCGAAATGGGATTTCCGAGTTCTCGAAGTTCAGAGGATAGCATTGCATACTGTGAACTACTTACAACTGGCTTTTTCATTTAAATAAGTAGACACTTTACTAAGTTAGAAGTGGCATATTTTACAATTTAATTATGAATTCATTTAGATGTATTACTTTAAAGAATATATAGTGCAGTGTATTTTTCAGCAGTTATGCACATTGTAAGCATTCATTTCGATTACATAAATATGTACATAACTAAAAAAGTTGTGATCGCCACAAATTAGGCAAAGATAAAACAGATCAGACCAGGTATCCTTAATCCTTATCCAAAAAGATCGTTCTTATAAATGGAAATGTCAGCATAGTAATAATAATTTTCTCTTCTTCACCAGGTCCCACCGACGACGTTGGAGAACTTCCTCAACAGGATAGAGGAAGGTTACTGCAAGTTCCACAACCCTTACCACAATAACCTCCATGCAGCTGATGTGGCACAAACAGTTCACTACATGCTGTGTCAGACTGGACTGATGGTAAGCCTTATTTGATCAATTTTGATAAGTATTTTAATCACTACATAGTAAAAAACAAAGTCGCTATCCACCGTCAGTCTGTCCCTACGTATGCTTAGATCTTTTAATACTACGCAACGGATTTTGATGCGGTTTTCTTTAATAGATAGAGTAATTCTTAAGGAAAGTTTATATATATATATAATACATGCATTTTGCATCCGTTCGAAGCCGGAGCGGGTCGCTTGTCAAGAATAAATTACAAATTATCAGTCGTATAATTCATTCAAACTTTTCGAAATAAATTCTAACGAGCACGATCACCTTACTATAGACAAATCAAAACTTTCACCTGAAGTGAAAGTGAAAATGCTGAATACTGAGTTTTGAACAAAAAGAGTAAACTAATTTAACGAGTTTGATCATACTGCAGAAGAAAATCTATCACATTTACTATCTTTTTATGGAGCAGCAAACGAGTAGACGGATCACTTGATGGTCCGCAATCAACGCCGCCAATGGACAATTACAACACCATCAGTGCAACAGTGTTTAATTAGCAGTGCATTGCCGGCCTTTTAGAGATTGGGAATTGGGGACAATTATGAAAAATATTTTCTCTTTTAACAGAACTGGCTATCAGACTTGGAAATCTTCGCGACGCTTGTGGCAGCAGTGGTGCATGACTATGAGCACACAGGCACCACGAATAACTTCCACGTGATGTCAGGGTCTGACACCGCGTTGCTGTACAACGATCGAGCTGTTCTCGAAAACCACCATATTAGTGCTGCATTCAGGTTAGACTGTATTTAGTCTTAAAGTAAATATAGTAAGATGGTATTTTAACTAAAATCAGAAACTTTTTTTGTTAGGTTTTTGTACTAAGTTATAATTTCAACGTAATGTTAGCCTTCTTTAATATAATGTCAACGTAATAGTCGCGGAGAACCTAACGGGTAACCGGGGCTCCGGCTCGACGTGCAGAAGAAGGAACGGGGTGGTTTTTAGTCAGTAAGAGTCTGACACTCCCTCCCGCCTCACCCAGGCTGGAGCAGTCATTCGATGACTTTCCACCCTTAAAAAAAAGAGCCTTCTTTCCAGTATAAACGTAGAACATGCACTTTAAACTAATACTGCGTACTGAAACTACGTCTGAATCGAATATTCCCGGTAATGACATAACAGCAGTTTTGGTTAAAGCTCTCACAGAATTGAATTTCTTGTTCAAGGACAACACTCAGCATTGCTTCTAGCCATAACGTCATAAGACAGTAATAACTATGATTTTCTTCACTAAAATGCATCTATACAAGTTCCAAGTAAAGCCAAGCATTGTATATTAAAATAGAAATCTCAAATCCCTTTATGTTCTGTTATTGTGCTATAGATTCCGCAAACGATTTACATTTTAATAAAACACTAGAGCGTTTGCGATCCGATGTCTCTCTAGACGTCTATATCGGAAATATTGCTTTCTATAAAGACCCTGCATTTTATTAACATTAACATATTCACAGTGATCGCAATATCTGAACTTTTCGTCTTTTGTAAAATAATATTCTTTGACTGGGTCCAGAATGACAAAGTACGTGATTTTATCCTTATTCGTACCCTTTCAAAAATTGTTTCTTTACCTCTTTTTTGTAAATGCATTGAAAATCATATTTGTTTTCTGTTTCGTGCCGTTGCCATGCTTCTGATAATGCAAGGATTTGTCGAAAAAGAAATTCTCGTAATTTCTATTCTATTATACTCGTTACTAAAATTGATTACGGGTATTACATTCGTATCAAGAGTGGGCGTAATGACATTATTATTATATTCAATACAAGATACTTTATCCATACAAATAAAACCCCTAATGATCACAATCGAACAATCAGATAACAAGCCATTCATTGATTTGTAATGACGCCGATTTTCTGAACGATACAAAAATAAATTCCTAGTAAAAAAAGAATGAAAGGCAAAGGTAATGATGGAAGTCCTGATTCAGCTAACAAAAGAGTCTCGAGTTTTGGTAGGGAACTCGTTAAAATACAAATATACGATATAATTTCCCTAGAGGGATGAACGTAGCGATTTTTCATCCGTAGTGCGCCCAAAAAGAGTGTTCGATATGCGATGATTCCTATGTATGCGAAAGTGCGAAGTGTATGTGAGTTAATGGACCGCTTTTCTTTTCGTAAGCTTTTGGAGTTAACGTGAACAAAGACAGATGACATTAGTTGTTGAAATACAAATTCTATTGTTAAACATTAGATAGAGTTACCGGTGCTCCTGCTCGACGTGCAGGAGAAGGAACGGGGTGGTTTTTAGTCAGTAAGAGTCTGTCACTCCATCCCGCCTCACCCAGGCGAGAACAGTCAATCGATGATTTTCCCCCCTTACAAAAAACATCAGATAGATAGAATTTCAGACATTATGCTATTACTAAAAATGATATATTCTTTGTATTAAATCTGTATTCTGTATTTATCTATATTAAATCGAATATTAAAACATTCCACACCCCACTACTTAGTTAAAAGCAAAACAAAAAAGAAATAGTAGATATGCGTTCTTGTTCTATCACTAAAAATGTTACCATGGGGAAAGATAGCTGTAAAAAATATTCGTTTGATCACCCACAAAGACGTATCTTATTAAACACTGTGTGAAACTTTAGTTCCCTTTTTTATAGACTGTCATATAAACGTATCACCTATTTTTTGGGCTTATCCAGTACTAAAACAGCAGTATCCAGAGTCATATAAATGCTTACCAAGATTTCTTAACTGATATTAAAATTTTACATGTATTTTTGGAAAGTAAAGAAATCTTTCGACCATAACGTGTTACTTTTTCAAGAAATTAGATGTTTTATTAGAATCCACTTAGTTTTTACTAGTTAACTATTATAGTGATGTAGATAATATAGATAGATATCTACTTGGCTAGATAAATCTACCAGGGACATCTTCAACATCACGGAAAATTTGACTGATGACTGGTTGGCGCGGTGGCTGGGCATCTGGCTGTCGTGCAACGTGTCGCAGGTTCGATTCCCGCACGGAGCAACTCTTTGTGTGATTCACAAATTAATTGTTGTTCCGGGTCTGGGTGTCATTATGTGTATGTCAACTTGTATGTTTGTGAACGCACCCACGACACAGGAGAAAATCTCGTGGGGCAACGTTTTTAAATAAATAAACAAAAATTTAGACCAGTAAAAAATCCGTTCAGAAAATCATCTGCGACTACGCTTAACTTCTAGCTAGTGTCTACTCAGTACAGCATCGCACTTCATACCACACATTTAAAACATTTTTCTTGCTATCCTCGTAAAGGAAGTGGCATTTAACCGATGATCAATCACCCAGTTTGTATGTTTGATATTTGATGTTACACGCACTGGTACGCGAGCTCGCCAGGCAATGCCCAACGATCCGTGCTACGAATGCCTGTCCAATGCATTACACACGTTCCGTTTTATTATAAACTGTTCAACATGTTTTTATTTGCTGTTTCGAATTGTATTACGGCCACTGAATAGACATTGGCAGCTAAATTATTCCGGTTGATGTATCGAACTAATGAGCATAGTAGGTTGCGTTTGAATAGACTGGTTGAATAATTGCGAGTTAAATAAATAGGTACATACGTACCTGTGATAACACAAATGTCAAATAATACAAATTACTGAACGGTTGGCGTGGGTGTTGGGCAACTGGCTGCCGCGCAAAGTGTCGCAGGTTCGATTCTCGCGTGGATCAACTCTGTGTAATTCACAGATTGTTGTTCCGGGTCTGGGTGTCATGTGTATGTGAACTTGTATTTTGTTTGTAAAAGTACCCACGACACAGGACACAATCCTACTGTAGGCACTAAAATATAAAAAGAATAATCTATTTACAAAGAAACTAAGGATGACTTGGTAGGAACGTTCTTAGTCTTCAGTTTATTAGTTCGCTGAGTGCTTCAGGGATAAAAGGCGGGATGTTATGTTATGTAACTAATTTATTAATAAAAAGTAGAAGAATGTCATATACCAATGTCATAAGTATAGATTTCATACTTGTAAAAGCAGTAGGCATTATATCGACGTAGATAGGTAACCGAAGGATCCTTCAGTATGCTTACAAAGTACTTAACGCAGGCTATTTTCATAGAAATAGGATACTTTATCTGTAGGCGACGGCGTGTGATTGATGAACGATGACATCAGCTCAGCATTATATGCTAATTTTTCACTCTGTGTCTCAAACATAATGTAAACAACGTTACGAATGGATTTCATTGAGTTGCTTCGTAAATGTAATATTGTTATGTCTTGTGCTATGTAACATTTAAAACTTAAATATTGTTTTTTTTTTATTGTTTTTTTAATAGTGGCACGGAATCTGAAATGGGATGAGTTATGTGAGCTTTGTCAAGGCGTCAAACTCTGAACTAGGTGATCGGGCTCTTAGTCTTCTACCATGCCCTTTACTTACTTCTAATAGTAGGTATATACAGATAGTATGGTTGTCTTCAAACTGTCTAAACTTACTATCAAGTAAATTATACTCGTTATTATTAACCGTACGTAGGTACGTACTTACTGGTAGCTATGTTGTATAAATATTTTGAATTACCAATACCTAATCCAACCGAATTTGTTAGAAATTGAGATATATTTTTGCATGTGTAATAGACCAACATTAATCTGATATTTGAACATATTAGAATGTATGTTAAATTGAAAGTTTTTATTTAACTTGATGTAAGGTAGGTAGGTGATATAAGTCCACAACGTAAAAGTAAAAAGTCGCCTTTGTGCACCTGGGTGAATTAAATTGACAAGTGAACAAAGGAGACTACTTGAGTCAACTCAATTCACCTAGGTGATGTCACCTGGGTGAAATAATTCCCAGGTGAATTGAGGACTCCAAAAAGTCTACTTTGTTCACCTAGGTGAAATCACCCAGGTGAACAAAGTGGATTAAACCTTAATATCCTGTGCGGAAGCTCTAATTTCTCATATCACAACAATCTGTACCCTACCAACGAAAATCGGTCCCGTGGCACGTTTCGCAGCAGTTGGTTGTCTACCCACTAAACCACCAAACATTCTGATTCAAATAATATTGCCCTAGAGCTAATTCTATTTCTATATTCGTAACACTGCGACCTATTCTGTGCAAACATAATATGTGTGTATTTTTAGATAAGGTATTCCTTTACATGGCCTGAAGCATTAGAAACTGCGTAGGTACCGCCAAGCAGAGATACAGGCACGGATAACCGTTCAGAGGTCGCAGAGGGCACACGGGCGGTTGCGACACAGAAAAAATTGTCTAGAAATTATCCCAGAATATGTTGGAGAAAATTACAGTTAACTTTGACAGTATACAACCTACGTCTACCAGTACATATATCCCTTTGAGGATTACAAGCCAAAACGTTTTATATTACAGCTGGTACGAGCAATGCCCAGTAATTAATTAGATAGGTTTTAATTAGGTAAATGCAGTCCTTGGGGCTTTTATTTAATAAATTATTGTGGGCGGTTGCTGTGTTGTGTTCGTTTTATTGTGTTACACTTCTTGTAGCTCAAGTAATTAAGTTCTTACAGGAACTCGAGGATTTTTTAATTAACATTCTTACTTGCTGTAATCATTCGGTGTTCTTTTTCTTGGTTGATATGCATTCCGCAATCCAAGGAGTGATGCCACCATACTAAATTAGAATCAACCTGTTTTTTGTAATATATTACAATCCTTACTAATATTATAAATCGGAAAGTAAGTTTGTTTGTTTCTTTGTTTGTTCCGCT